CACCCACCCAGTACATCGTTTCGTGGCCCCATGAGGGGGCTCCGCCGAAGGTCCCACTGGCACCGCCCGCATGCGTCCGACACCACCCAGCACAGCCCTTGCTCCCTGCGTTTCGCCCACCCAGCACAGCGCTTCGTGGCCTCATAGGGAGCTCCACGGAAGGTCCCGGTGGCACCGCCCGCATGCGTCCGCCACCACCCAACACGGCCCTTGCCCCCTGCGTTTCACCCACCCAGCACAGCGCTTCGTGGCACCATAGGAGGCGCCACGGAAGAAGATCTTCACAATTGCGGTACTCACAACTGCATATGGTTGGGTCTTTCGCCCAGCTATTTTTGTAGTTGGGACTCCTACTCCCTATCCTCTTCCTCGAGCCACATCGAGACTCCGGGGTCGCATGCAAACATGTTTCGGGAATGTTGTTGAACTCTCTGGCGCTGTCTTGGCGCTCTCTTGGAAAGTCTTCGCGCCCTCTTGGCTGCCCCTGAAACCATGGTAGAAATCGAGACCCCATGATCCCATGAGTTGAAGCAATGGGATTTTAGAACAGTCGTTTCAGATTCAACCCCTGCTTATTTTTGCACGGAGACCCCGAGAGGCATCCCAACATACCGTGGCCTGCGTGCAGAAAACATCTAACGCGCAGCCCAGGCACTGCAACTTGAAAAAAAAGAAGGAAATGCTACCATTCAGTTTTTGTTCCAAGTTCGCCCCCCTGTCTACTCTTGCACAACAGACCACAATGAAGTCCCCAATACAGAACCCAGGATGCGATTGTCGGTACATACATCGCCCCCCCCCCCCCCCACACACACACACACGCCTTCCTTCGCACGCATTCCCCTATCGCCCGAGCAGGACCCGCGCCGGGCTCGACTTGCACATTTCTTGGAGGCAGTGAAGGGCCTACCCCGGGACATCGACGACAGCGCTAATGCTTTGGCGGCGCTGGCCGAACCAACAACCGTCTTCATTGACCAGCAGCGGGCCGCAATGGCATCAGCCGTCTCATTGCGCATGAACGGCGGGCGCGTTCGTTGTTCAGGAGCCTCGCAGATTCAGATCCATTTGCACCTGCGCCATTGCTTGACAGAGGGGCTGCGAGAGACAGTCGCGACGAAAGACAACACATGGGAGATGAAGAAGGAATCGATGGCCGATTTCCTCCTCAAGATTGGCGCGCGGCACCCGTCGGGCCCCACGGTCGAGGACGCGCTCGCCATCCTGTCGCAGTTTTATGGCCGCTCGCTCCAGCCCAATGAGGCGCGCGACGAGCTCTTCAATTTCAAGAGGAAGGCGGCCGCCAAGACATTGATCGTCTCGGGCCAGATGGCACTCATGACTTACCCCATCGACCCAACGGACTTCATCAAGCAGTGCCCGAGGGCGCACGACGAGGGCGATGACCCCGCCAAGTCGAGAGTTGACCCAGTTAGGATCAAGCAGTCGACGCTGGAAGATTTGATGCCTGCGAGGTCCAAGAGCGCTGCTCTCGCAGGGGGTGCGCGGGCCGCAGCGTGCCCGTCGATCAAGGCGGCCGTTCGGCAGGGGCGAACCGAGCGAGGACTTGGCAGATGTCCTGCTGCGCAAGTGGCAGTGTGGAGGCGGCGAGTCTCCAGTGCAGAAGCGCTGCCCCTCGAAGACCTCTGCAGCCTCGGCCGCGCGCCTCGCGATCGAGGACGAGGCCCGCGCGGGGGCGGCGGCCGAGGAGGAGGATGGGGGTGCTCGAGGCCCTCCAGCAATGGCAGCCGCGGTGCTTGCTGCAGACTTCGCTGCAGCCGCGCCCGCTCCAGGAAGCATCGCGGCCATCGTCGAGACATCCAAGGAGGCGCTCGCGACGTCGAAGGGCCATGAGAAGAGCAAGGACTCTGACGAGGAGGAGGACGCCTCCGATGAAGAGCCCCTCCCGGGCGGCAAGACAGACCGCGGCCGCAGGGGGGGCCCCGGGACGGCCGATCCAGACCGCAAGAGGCCCTCCGCGGCGCCTTCCAAGAAGCCTTCGGCGGCGCCGCGTGCGGGCCGCAAGGGCAGCAAGGTCTCCGAGACGACGGCGGAGCTCTTGCGGCGCCTCCCGAAGGACTTCTCCACGAGATTCTTGAAGCGAGAGGTGGCCGCACGGCTCGCGCGCGGTGCTTTCACCTCGCATGGCTACGCGATCTGCTAGAAGACCGACAAGGCGCAGGCCTCTGCCGCCTACCACGTGGCCGCCCGCTTTTGGGACGAAATTCGCGGCTGGGCTGGGCGCGCGCATCCGTGCGGCATGCTGCGTGCGCTACCCCAGACATTTTAAAACAAGTATCCGGTTGCCGAGAAGGATGCAACGCCTTAAATCGATGCCAACACCACTTGGTTTTCGCAATGTGTATATTTGAAACCGACTTTGCGCACTATCGACTGACACTCGATTGTCGGATGTACAAGTGTTGCAAACGAATGTCGAGTATGAAATCACACGCGGAACCTAGATCCGCCTGACCCCAGAGGCGTGCGAGGGAAAGTTTGTGCCACTGCCGTTCATCTGGCGCGCTGCCGATGGTGCAGTCAACCTTGCGCGGTGCCGACATTGTTCTCACATTGCTTGTTCTCGCCTGAAACCGATCGGCATCTCCCTTCTTGCCACGGCATCCTCACCCACGCAACGTCAAGCGCAAGAGCGGATCGAAGCGGCAGTTATCCGTTGTGGCCCAGCCAGGGGCCACGGGCTCGGCAGGTGCGACACTTGTCGACCTTGCGGCGAGGCTCGTGGTTAACATTGATGCGCCCCGCCAGGACTTACTCGTCCCGTCTGTTCTCAGAGCCCAGAGCCCGCACCATCACATACCACAAATCCCACCTGATTCAAATATACAAATCCCAACCTCGCGATTTAACATATGTGCAAGTGAGCACAGGTTCAATTATCCCCGTTATCCGTTTTCCGTTCTATACTTGGCGCGTTCCATGCCATCTCAGAAGCCAGCAGTCCCAGCCCTGCATGCTTGAATTTAGGAGATGCGGTCTGCCGCTCGATGCGCCCCTTCGGCTCCCAGCTTCTAGCTACCCTCGTGCCTGACACAGGGGTAATGGGATTGCAGCTGATTCGTGTTTCCTCTGCTTCGTTGCTCCTGTCGCGTGTCGCGCGTGCTTCATTGATCGCGCGACCGCGCGTTCGCTCTTTCCAGTTTTAGTTTTGCTGTTTGACCTCGAACCGTGCAGATCCTGGCCGTCGATGTATACAACCAGTGCACGTTGCACCGCGCCCACGCGTGGCATGGTGGAGCACCAGTGTCCAGTCTTCGGATGGCACTGGGAGCCAGTGGGCTGCCATCCACGCTCTCCGCTCTCGGCGCCGCTACCAGCAGCAGAAGCAGCGACTGACCAGTGTGCGGGAATCTGAGAATCGTTCATCTGCCATCCAGCCATCCATCCATCTTTCAGATCGTTCAGACATCCATCCACCCCCATTCCGTTCCCCACCCTCCTCCCTCCCTCCTTTTCACCTCTGACCGCTCACTCTCACCCCGTCCTTTCCCCTTTCCTCCCTCCTCCTTCCTGGCCCTTCCTCCTTCCTCCTTCCTCCCTCCCTGTCTACTGTATACTGCCTACCTCTTCTTTCCTTCCCTCCTTCCTTCCACCTGTCACCTCCGCCCTTCGGATGGCCCTTCGGCACTTCGCCGCTTCCCGCCTTCGAGGTCCTGGAGTCCTGGGGGTAGGTTGCACCACCAGCGACTGGACGACGGGACCTGTGCGGTCCGCCCGCCCGTCTGCCGCAGGCTGGATGCCTGACCTCCAGCGGGGCCCTCCCGGACCCCCCGGCGCCATTTGCCGATGCCACCGCCGTATCGTAGCCACTGCCGTGTCATCTGGCGTCGTCGGTCGTCGACTCGATCACCGTGCAGAGTGACGTGACGATCGATGACGATGACACGATGACTGATTGCCGATTACCGATTGCCGATTGCCCGATGACGATGACGATGGCGACCGATGACTCGACGAATGTTGGAATAATAGTACAAGTTGCACTACGCATAGCCTTTAGCCTTTAGCCTTCGGTGGTACTTATGTGTAGTGGCATTGGTGTTTGACCGTAATGGGTGTTTGGTGTTAGATGATGGGTGTTGTTGGGTGTTCGGTGTGGTTGTTTGGTGTTCGGTGATGGTATGTTTTTTGGGTGTTGGTTGTTGGTGCGTTGGTGTGTTGGTGTCAGACCTTGGGCCATTGGCTGGACCTCGGACCCTGGATGCCTTGGGCTTTAGGCTTTGGGCTTTGGCCTTGCCTTGGGGTAGCGGGGTAGCGGGTAGGGGGTAGGAGGAGGGGCGGGTAGGGGGGGGGGGGTAGGGGGGGTAGGGGAGGGGAGAGGGGGAGGGGGGGGAGGGGGGGGGAGGGGGAGGTCGATGGAGAGGGGGGGGGCATGGAGGAGAGGGGGGGTCGAGCCCTTAGCAGGGGTTGGCAGGGGCGCCGCCAAATCACCGCCAAGTTGCCGCCAGGACGCCGCCAAGATGCCGCCAAGCCAGCGCCAAGACAGCGCCAAGTCACCGCCAAGTCGCCGCCAAGTCACCGCCAAGTCGCAGCCAGTGAGCCATCCCAACACCACCCGAACACTTCAAAATGGGCTCGCGAAAACGTTCTAGAAAAACATGTTCCGTGCCTCGTCCAGCCCTCCTCCTCCTCCTCCTCCTCCTCCTCCTTCTCCTCCTCCTTCTCCTCCTCCTCCTCCTCCCTCTCCTCCTCCTCCTCTTCCTGCTCCTCCTCCCCGCAGCTGAAAGAAAAGGAGAGGACAGAGGCGGGCCAGCAAGCAAAAGCAGGGGGGAGAACCAGTCCTCGCGCCCCTCTGCCGGCTACTAGACAGCTCCTCCTCCTCCTCCTCTTCGTCCTCCTCCTCCTCTTCGTCCCTTCTCGCCTTTCCCACCTCCCCCTCCTCCTCCTCCTCCTCCTCTCCCTCCTCCTCTTCGTCCTCCTCCTCCTCTTCGTCCCTGCTCGCCTCTCCCTCCTCATCGTCCTCCCCCTCTTCTTGAAAGGTGGAGGGCCGGCACGAGGACACGGGTGCCGGCGCAAGGACGAAGACGCAGGCCCTGCTCTTTGCGGCCAGTTGGCGCCCGTGTCCGGACACCTACAAGGACACGCCCGCAACCCCGAGGCGAAGGGGCCATTCTGCTGCCGCTCCTGCTGCCGCTCCCGCTGCTGCTGCTGCTGCTGCTGGCCCTCCTCCTCCTCCTCCTCCTCCTCCCTCCACCTCCTCCTCCTCCTCATCCTCCTCCTCCTCCTCCAATTCCACCTCCACCTCCTCCTCCTCCTCCTCCTCCTCCACCTCCTCCCAATCCCTCCTTCATTTCTCCCCGCTCTGTTCGTCAGGTATTCATTCCCCTCCTCCTCCTCCTCCTCTACCTCCTCCCTCGCAGGCCTAGAGGTTGACATCAATGCCAATATCGGTGGTGTGCCTCCACCGAGGGAAGAAGATTCCGATTTCGGTGATGGTGGTAATAACTCTGGCTTCCAAGGTGGCCGAAATATTACCACCAACACCAAATCCAGCATCATCTTCCCCCTGTGGAGGCACCCCCCTGTGTTGGTGTTTGTGTTGGTGCCCATTCCCAGGCCTCCACCTCCTCCTTCTCCTTCCGTATCTTCTGCCAGAGGCCAGCTGGTGCCCCAAAGCGGAAGAAGGGCTTGCCAGAGGGCCAGACCGCGGAGGTGAAGACGACGGCGGCGTGGGCGGTCAAGGGCCCAGGAGCCAGCTCTGGAGGCTCCCTCGTGGCCGCCATGATGCGCGGCGAGGTCAGAAGTGGGCGGGGAGGCGGTCGAGGAGAGAGGGTGAGGGAGGGACGGAGGATGGAGGGATGCTTGATTTTTTCTCCTGCAGTCCTCAGGAGGCCGAACCATATTGATATCTCGTTTAGCCGCGATCGGCGGCGGCTCCTGCCATTCGGGCCTGCTCTCGTGCCTGGATTCGTTCGGCCAGAGCTTGCATTCTAGGGGGTTGGATTAAACCGCCTGCAGAGGGAGGGTGGAGGGGGGAGGGTGGGGGAGGGGTGGAGAATGGAGGAGGATGGAGGGGCACGAGGAGGAGGAAGAGGGTGAGGAAGAGACGGAGGAGGAGGAGGTGGAGGAGGAAGAGGCGGAGGAGAAGGAGGAGGAGGAGGAGGAGGGGGACCAGTGCAAATCCAAAGCTCATCAACGATTTTGCAATAAGCCCTCCCTCCAAGAATTCCTGACCCGTGGGGGAAGTGGCCCACCTGAAGACAGCCGCCCGAGAGAAGCCCAGAGGGGAGGAGGACCAGGGCGAACCCGACAGGTATCCATGGATGCTGCAGGACACCCTCCCGCCCCAGGTCCCCTGCGGAGGACATCTCGAACGATAACACCGTGTTCAAAAGGAGCCGCCATCCATCCGCATAAATGTTGCTAGCTTTCAGGACGAATGTGCCTGGCGCTGAGGCGAGAGCCACATGTTGAAATCGACCCGCCTTCCATCAGCCCTTCAACACGAGTGTGCCCGGCGCTAGCGCGAGAGCCACATTTTGGAAGCGACCCGCCCGCCATCAGTGCAACAGCTGGGAACTTTTGAGATGAATGCGCCAGGCGCTAAGGCAGGAGTCACATTTCGACCCCCCACCCATCAATCAATGTGTGTAATAGAGATTCCAAACTTCGGTGTCACATCAAGTCCTTAGCCGTGTAGCGCACGGCGGGACGCCAAGCTTCCAAAGAACAAGCTTGAAGTTTCAGCCTTAAGCTTGAGCTTGAAGCTTCAGATCGGGTCGGGCTGGAGTTGCATCTGGTCTGGCTGGTCTAGTTGGTCTGGCTTGAGCTTCGTCCTGAAGCCTTAGCTTAGGATTCGGGCGAGATTGGTTTAGGGGAGGTCCATGGAGGCAGCGCCAACCACTACGACGACCGAAATGCATTTGTTTGTTGCATTGCTATTTTTGTTGCATTTCAGATTTGTTTCTTTTGCAGTTTTTGTTTGCATCTGGTCTGGCTGGTCTGACTGGTCTGGTTTGCGCTTAGTGTCCGGCGAGAGTGGTTTATGGGAGATCCAGGGAGGTAGCGAGGAGGAGGAGGAGGAGGAGGAGGAGGAGGAGGAGGAGGAGGAGGAGGACGACGACGACGACGAGGGGGGGATGAGGAGGAGGAAGAGGAGGACGGGTTGGAGTCGGAGGAGGGGCAGGAGGGGGAGAAGGAGGAGGAGGAGGAAGAGGAGGAAGGGGTGGAGTCGGAGGAGGGGCAGGAGGGGGAGAAGGAGGAGGAGAAGGAGGAGGAGGAGTTCGAGGAGGAAGAGGACGACACAAGACAACAACATAATCTCGAAAACCTCAAGCCTCGGTCCCCTTGGACCTCCAGGGGGCCCCAAATCAAAAATAGCCGGATTGAAAGTACATACCCATTGTTCATTTCTTATTATTCGAAAGTTCTTTGATTTCTTTGGGGGGCCAGGATCCTCTCATTTCTAATTGTTATGTCCTGTGCCTCTTCTTGGCCACAAGGGGGCCAGGAACAATCAGAAACGAGCACAATTAGAAGTGAGCACGATTAGAAATGAACGACGCGTAGCCATCCGCGCCGGGCTCCCAGCGCGTCGCGGCCCAGAGTCTTTCGGAATCCAGCCGTGGGCGCTCGGGCGCGCCTGAGGGAGGAGAACGACGGCGACGACGGCGATGCGATGACGAGCACGTCGACGCCGACGACGACGACGACGAGTACGAAGACGGCGACGACGCAAGAGAGGCCCAAGAGGGACCCGAGCGGGCCCTGCGAGGTGTCACATTCGACGCCCGTGAAAGTGGCACATCCGAGGGCCCACTTGAGGCCACAGATAGGCCCCGAGAAGGCCTCAAGAGGGCCACAAAGGGGGCGCCAAGAGGGCTCCAAGAGGGGCCCAAGAGGTACCCAAACGGGCTTTTCGAGGTGTCACTTTCAACGCTCGTGAAAGTGACACCTCCCAGGGCCCACTTAGGGCCCCAGATAGGCTCGAAGAAAGCCCCGAGAGGGCCTCAACGAGGCACGAAGAGGGCTCCCAGAGGGGCCCAAAAGGTGCCCCTAGAGGTATCCTGGAGGGCTCTTCGAGGTGTCACTTTCAACGCCCGCGAAGATGACACCTCCAAGGGCTCTCTTGACGCCCTCTCGGGACTATTGGGGTCTTCTTGGAGCCCTTTGGGGCGCTGAGTGGGCCCAGGGTGGGCTTCGTCGTAGTCGTCGTCGTCGTCGTCGTCGTCGTCGTTGTCGTCGGCGTCGTCGTCGTCGTCGAGGTCGTGGTCGTCGTTGTCGTCGTCGTCGTCGTCGTCGTCGTCGTCGTCGTCGTCGTCGTCGTTGTCGCCGTCGTCGCCGTCGTCGTTGAAACCGAGGTTCGACGATCCCCGTTCGAGATACTTCTGGGCAGTTCTGCGCTGCTGCGTCAAGTTCTGCTGCCGCGGACAGGGAGGTGGGGAGGGAGGGAACGTCAGCAGCCATATCGGCTCTTGTGCTCCAAAAGAAAGTAAGGCGCTGGGGCATAGGAACTTTTCGCCTCGAGCGGCTTATCACCCAGCGCGTTCCACTACTCGCAAAATGCCTACTCGCACACGTCCGAAACATATTTGCTTGTTCCGATGAAGTGTATCGTAGATCCCCCGCGGCGGATCCATGCCATTTGCAGGTAGTTGTTTTGCGGGTGGAGCGCGCTCCTCTAGCTTAGAACATGTGGGGGAGGTCTCGGGTGGAACGCCTGGCGCGCCTGACCGACACGCATGGTGGTCATACGAGGAGAAGGCACTCGTCGGGGAAAAGGAGGGGGGAGAAGGAGGGAAACGTGGATGAGGAGGAGGAGGACTGGAAGGAGGAGGAGAAAGAGGAGGAGGAGGACGAGGAGGAGGAGGAGGAGAAAGAGGAGGACAAGGAGGAGGGCGACGAGGAGGACGACGACGAAGATGAGGAGGAGGACGAGCAGCGGCTAGGTGAACCTCCCTTCGAACGACGCCCCCTCGGGTGGCCGCGGTGGACCCGGCTGGGACACGGAGGTGGCGAAGCCGCTGGAGGAGTGGGAGATTCGGAAGCTGGAGAAGGAGCGGCAGAAGGAGGCAGAGAAGAAGGCGGCCGAGGAGGTGCAGGCGCGAAAGCAGAAGGTCGCCAGCGTCGAGCAGGCGGAGAAGGATAGCAAGAAGAGGCTGAAGGAGCTCAAGCAGAAGCTCGAGGAGCTGGAGGCGCTCAAGGACAAGGAGTGGGACGAGCTGACTGAGGAGGACGAGGCCGAGCTGGAGGGCGAGATCGAACTGCGGGACGAGATCAAGCTGCTCGAGAAAAAAATCGGCGCAGCCTGACGCTGGCGCAGACCCCGGCTGTGGATCGGGGGGCTCGCAGAGGGGGGGTCAGCCCATGGCGGGGCCAGGGCGGCCAGGGCACAAACCCGGCTGGAGGCCCACACCCTTCCTCCAGGGGCCACCCAAAACGATTTTCTTCCAGCCCGCCCTCTGGCCCGTACTCCCCCTCTGGGGCCCCCCCCAGTGAAGGTGGAGGGGCTCGACGCTAAAGCCCCCGCGCCCCGGCGCTCCGGCACAGCACCGGGCGCTGTAAGCTGGCGCGGGCGCAGCATTGGCCCGCACGAGTCTTATCGGCTTCCTTCTCCACCCCCCCTTCCTCCTCACTCTTCCTCCCTCCTCCTCCCTCCTCTTTCTCCTCCTCCTCCTCCTCCCTCCCTCCCTCCCTCCCTCCCTCCCTCCTCCTCCTCCTCCTCCTCCTTCCTCCTCCTCCTCCTCCTCCTCCTCCTCCTCATCCTCCTCATCCTCATCCTCATCCTCCTCCCTGACTCCGTCCGGAAGACAGCCGAGTCTTTCCGCGTATAGTTGTTTAACCATAACGTTGGGCAGTTGTGATCTTGTTTGTGCTTTTGTTCCATCCGGTTATTCTCGGTGTTTCAGGGCCTCTCGGATGGGCGCTTTGCCCCTGTCGTTCAGAATGGCGCTCTCGCCTCAGCGTGGAACACTTTTCTGGATCCGAGGCCTCTGTCATCGTTGTCGCTCCCCTCATTTCCCCTTCTCCGTCGTCTTCCCCTAGCCCTTCTGCTCCTCTGGTTCCTTCCACTCCAGTTCCAGCTGCTGCTGTTCGTTCTCGTCCTCGTTCTTCCACATCCTCCATCTTCTTTTCTTCCTCCTGCTCACCCGCCACCTCCTCGTCCTATTTTCTTAGGCAGCTCTCCTTTTCCGATTGCGCGTGGCACGACGGGGTATTATGTTGGAGGTCCAGGTCGGCTATGACACGCGCCCGCGGATACAGATAATTAGGATGGGAGGGGGTGGTAGGATGTCAGAAGTGGCGCGAGCGCATCTGACTTGTCCTCCTTCTCCCCTCTCTGTTCCTTCTTCTTCTCCTCCTCCTCCCCCTCCTCCTCCTCCTCCTCCTCTTTCGAAATCTGGTCTTCCTGAATCAGATGTTCCGCCCTTTTCCCCACCGTTCCCGAACTCATCGGGGATGGGCCAAGTGCTCTACCTGCTTCGGACCAGCTCAACCAGTTCATGCAGATGGTTCTGGCTGGAGGCGACGAGGGCGCCTCTATTTTCGATGTCTTGGCTATGCATGCAGAACTGCTGGACAGTATCGAGGCATTTGATTGTCAGTTTTCTCGAAGCAGCTGCAGAGGAGGACAGCATGCTCGACGAGTTCGTGCTGGAATCTGGCGTCTGCCGCTCTTCCTACGCCTGACGGCTTCGCCTTCGCCGTCACCGCCACGTCGGGCGACGGCTTCGCTGACGACCTCAACGGCGGGTGAGCTGGCCGCGGTGCTCGACTCACCCCTGGGGGGCTGGCTCGGCAGGGGCCATGGGCGGCGCGGGCAGCGGGGCCCGAGGCGAGCCGACTGCCGACCTCCCCCTCCGGGGCGTGGGGCTCCTCCCCTCTCCCGAGGCCCTTCCCGCAGCGGCCCTCCCGGGACCTCGGCCGCGGCCAGAGCGGGCCTCCCGGCCCTCGGCAGCGCCTGGCTGGCCGGGAGCCTCCGCGGACGGGTCGGGCCGGCGCCGCGCGCCTCCCTTCTGCTCGCGGGCCTCTCCTGCTCTCAGGCAGCTGCCCGGGCGGCGCAGCACCCGTCGCGCACGCGCCCGCCCCTGGAGGAGGAGGAGGAGGAGGAGAGGAGAGGAGGAGGAGGAGGAGGAGGAGGAGGAGGAGGAGGAGGACTGTCGCGCACGCGCCCGCCCCTGCCACCCTCGGCAGTCTTCCCCCCTCCGGGGCGGCTCCGGCTCGTGCGCGAGCTCGGGCCGTCGACGAGCTCTGCGCCGCTCGCCTGCCCCGCCGCGTGGCTCGTCCCGGCCACGCCGCGCTGCGTTTCTGGCGCCTCGCTGCCTCCTCCTCCTCCTCCTCCTCCTCCTCCTCCTCCTCCCTCCTCCTCCTCCTCCTCCTCCTCCTCCTCCTCCTCCTCCTCCCCCTCCCCTCTCCTCCTCCTCCTCCTCCTCCTCCTCCTCCTCCTCCTCCTCCTCCTCCTCCTCCTCCTGTCGCCACTGTCGCGAGCCTGGCCTCCCAAGCCGCCCGGCGCATGCTCATGTTCGTGGAGGATCGCGCTCGTGACCGCGGCGGGCACATCGTTGGCAGGGACCACGCGTGGACGGTCATCGGCGCCGCCCGCGCGCGGCGGATTTGGCTGCGCGGCCTTGTGTTCAGACTCGGCTCGCGCGCTTGAGAGAGAGAGAGAGAGAAAACGCGAAGGACGGGTTGAGGGAAGTGGCCACGACCGCAACCACATGGGGCGCTCCGGAGGGGCCGCGCCTACGGGGGATGGAAAATGGTGGCATCTCTTCCTCGGCGGAGGACGGCAGAAGGCTGGCAACGATTTACCGAAGGCAGCTCCGCGGGCGGACGCGAAAAAAAAAGTCGCCCTGGGTGGACGTGGGCATCTGGTGCATCACAGCTCACGTGCACGCATGTTCTCTTCGCGGCGACGCCGATGCTCGGAAGCGAGCGGTGATCGACATTCGATAGCCAGCCGCCGTGGAGCTCTCTAGAGAGTTCCCTGGGGGCACACTGCGGCCGCAGGCTGCGGCCGGTGCAAGCAGCACATCCCCGCCTCGTGCCTGCCTGTCCGCCGCTGGGCCCGTCAGAGCCCACCCGGCCACCGAGCGGAGCCGGCAGCCACCGCAACGACCGAGCCGAGGCAGGCGCGCTGATCTCGGCCCGGGCCGCGGCACCCCCTGCCCGCAGATCTGCCCGCCGGCGCCCTCGCTCGGGCGAGCGAGGCACGGGGCCGCCGCGGCAGTCCAGCAGCCCGCGCCCCGCGGGCCCCCCGTGGCCCATGGTTCCTGGCACATGCTCTCCTGCCTCGGTATCGTCGTTCACCTCATCCCCCCTCCCATCTTGGCACATTCCTCTGCTCCGCCTGCTCCTCCTCCTCCCCCCTCCTCCTGCCTTGCCCCCCTCCTCTCTCCGTCTCTTCCGTCTCCACAGGAGTTGCGCGGTCTGACGACCCATTTCGTGAACAGGCCCCTCCGCTCATCGTCCCCTCCTGTCACCCGCGTCACGGACGGGGGTCGACACAAGAAGGCGACCAGGGAGGCATGGAGGGGAGGGGAGGTATGGAGGGAAGGGGAGGTATGCAGAAGGGGAGATATGGAAGGGAGGGGAGGTATGGAGTGGAGGGGAAGGACGGAGGGAGGGAGGGAGGGAGTGGAAGGGGAGAGAACATGGAAGGGGATTAGCGGAGGGAGGGGATTGAGGGGAGGTGGGGGTGTGGGGGGTGGGTGGGGGGAGGGGGGGATGGATTGAGGGAGGGAGGGAGGAAGTGGAGAGGGAAGGAGGAAAGGTCAAGTAGGGAAGACAGCGGGGGATGGGAGGGATCGAGGGAGCGTGATCGGCGGGATGACGGTGGCAGGTAGTGGTCGGGATGAAACGGACGACAGGATTCGTCTAAGCAGAAAGGGGCAGCCGCGCAAGAGGCGGTCTGGCCCGCATCGGTGCAGTTCCTCCACCTCACCCTCCGCCTCCAACCACCACCAACACCATCACCACCACCGTCATCATCATCGTCATCATCATCATCATCATCATCAGCATCATCATCATCATCATCATCATCATCAGCAGCAGCAGCAGCAGCATCAGCATCATCAGCATCAACATCAACAGCTACATCACCATCAACATCAACATCAGCATCACGATCAACATCGCTAATGAAACCCTCAACACCATCAACACCATCGTCAGCAGCAACATCATCACCAACCATACCACCATCATCGTCACCATCATCATTATCATCACCATCATCATCATCATCGTCATCATCATCAACAGCATCACCATCAACATTATCACCAACATCGCCATCATCATCGGCATCAGCATCATCATCATCATCATCATCATCATCATCATCATCATCATCATCATCATCATCATCATCATCCTCGTCGTCGTCATCCTCATCACCATTATCACCACCATCATCATCATCATCATCATCATCATCATCATCATCAGCCTCATCATCATCAACATCACTGTCCACAGCATAGCGGCTACGGCGAAAGGCTACTGCGAAACTGTCCACAGCGTAGCGGTCGAGGCTGGCGGGTGCCTCAGCGAGGGCGCGGCGACAGCCATCGCCGAGCTCGCTGCCGCGCTGCAACTGCACGGGCGGCCTCCGGAGGACGACGGCGCGCGCGCTCGCGGAGCGCATGAGTACGATGGCGCCGACGCGACGCTGGCGACGCTGGGGCACTCAGCGCCCTTCCACGCTCCATCGGCGAGGCAGGTCAGGAGTCCGCGAGGAGGTGTCCAGACCACCATCATCATCATCATCATCATCATCATCATCATCATCATCAGCAGCAGCAGCAGCAGCAGCAGCAGCAGCAGCAGCAGCGTCACGTCACCGTCGTCTTGGTCGTCGTTGTCGTCGGTGTCGACCCTCATCTCCCTCCTCATCCCCCCTATCTCAGCCCGCATTATTCTTCCTGTCCTCCGCATGGCGTAGGGCGCAGCTTCCCCGATAGAGAAGCATAACGCGGTGATCTGCGTCACTTTTCCTAGTTTTTGGCATCAGCATCGCGAGCATGACACCGGCAATCTTCCCTCCCATCGTCATTCCTCTCCATGCCAATTCTCGAAAATTCCGAATGGCGAAGTCCGGGCGTCTGAAAAAAAAACACCCTTGCACTCTTCCGCCGTATTAGTTTGTGTGTATTGTCAGTCCGCCTCCCCCTTCCGATCACATGCCCTCTTCCTCCTCCTCCTCCTCCTCCTCCTCCTCCTCCTCCTCCTCCTCCTCCTCCTCCTCCTCCTCTTCCTTCTACTCCATCAGATCCTCCTCCCGTTCCCCCTCTTCCCAGTTCCCCCCTCTCTCCTCCTTGTCGCCCTCGTCGTCTTCGTTCCGTGCACGTCACGTTCTACTTCTCCTCACTACTGTAGTCGTTTCCCCCCCCCTCCTCCTTCTCCTCCTCCTGCTGCTCCTCCTCCTCCTCATCCTGACGCCTCCCGTCTCCCATCCTCTCCCAGCTCACCTTGCCCCCCGCACCCTGCTTTGTTCAGGCTGTTGGGCTACACCTCTCCCGGGAGCCCCATGGCGCTCGGAGTTCTCGAGCAGGGCCGGAAGGTCGGAGGGGGGAAGGGATGGGAGGGAGGGGAGGCAGAGAGCAGGGGCCGAGGGGAGGGGCAGGGGA